CTGTTACTCTAGAATCTAAACCTTTGTTTTTAAATGTCTCTAGCCCTTATGGTTCAAAGATAACCTTTACAGTATTCCCAAGAGCAAATTCACCCAGTGATGTCTGCCTGACTCAGAGAACCTGACACATCCCCTCTCAGATCTATTAGGTGTCCTTAAATCATCAATGGCGTGTCAATGGTGAAGCCTAATTATCATAATTTAAAACATGTAATTTATCAATATTTTGCTGCTGATCAAAACAAGTTATTTAAAAAAAGTGTAGGATTATGAAATGAGCAGCAGCACAATTTGTGAGCAGCATCTTACTCTGCCATCACAAGTGAGTGCAGTTTGAGGGAATGCCATGAATGATTCCCATCAGAACCTTAATTTGCTTTCCAGACATTAAATCAGAAACTCAGCACAGGTAAGTCTCAAACTCTCAAGTAAGTTACAAACTTTACAGTGACTTTACAGTAGATTTTGAGCAAACCTGTGCAAGTTCAAGGTTTTTTTTTGGGGGGGGGGGAGAAAGGGGGCATAAAACTATGTAAAAAATGACCAGATGCCAAACAAAAACTTAGCAATGTTTGCAGTCTCTCTCTCTCTCAAATAACGCTTAGGGAATGAAAAACCATGTGGATTGAAATTGGGATAGGGGATAAGGTTCCTACAAATGAAAGCACCAAGTTTTGACTAAATTTCAGTCTACAGTTTGCTACATTTTGTCTGAAGGCTCCATTTCAATGAACAAAACCTGCTGTGTTACTACCATGCACATAACAGCCTTTTGTGTACAGAGCTTCCCCTTCGCTCCAAACTTTCAAGAGAACTCAAGAGAATTTTTTTCCCCAAAAGAAAAGTGCATCTGCATCCTGTTTAGTGGAAGTCCCTTAAAATAAGAGATTGGTTGAAAATAAAACCTTAGAGTCAAAATCCTCTGAGAATTGTAAGTTTAGATCCAATGTCTGCACCTCCAACCAACTTCTATTTAAACCACTATACACAGTATAAAAGCTTCCCTCTGAACTATAGGGATGCTGTTTTTTTTTAAAAGGAAGTCAGAGGAAGCTTCCAGTACAATATAAGATAAATTAGCAACTGCTAGCTGAGACCAGCACAGTTCTCCTTGATGTATCCAGGTGGAGGATCCCTTCTGTCTGATCTGGTAGAACTGCTCCCAAGGGATCAATGCTGATTTTTAACCTGACACCATCTGGTAGAACTGCTCCCAAGGGATCAACACTGATTTTTAACCTGATACTTAGGTTAACACACAGGATGTAATTCCACAGTGAATCCAGTTGCTGCGGAGACAATGCTGCTAATTGGTTATGTCTGTTGTAGTGTCTGGCCTCCTACTTGTAGGCAGACAACAGCTTGCTGTATTGCAGCAGATGGGTGCACAACAGAGTCAGATGGGTAGTCACAAAGAGCCATGCAGCAGCACTCAGATATCGCTTAGTGTGCAGATCAAATCCAGGCATCAATGGAGGGAGTGGATCCTGATGTGGATGATTTTCAGCACATTTTCCTCAAAAACACCTAAATTGATATTTACACTGAAAGTTGTTGACATAGATAAAAGACTCTAAATCTACTGATTAGAGTGAGAGCGCAGTCAAGATTTAGTTACAACTCAGTGCCCTTCTAAAAGGAGGTTGTTTAATGCAATAACCGTTGCGGCAAAGTCAACCAGCTCCACAAAGTCCGATGTAATTATGTTCACACCCATAATACCTGGTTTCTGTGTCTTTATCCAGTTCAAAATCATAGGCAGGTTCCTAAAGAAAAAAGAAAGAGGGATGAATGTGTTATGGAAGTACCTTGATTTCTGACTACATGTAACATTTTGTGTGTGCACAGCAGTAACATTTTATGCTTGCACAGTATATTTTATCCCCAAAGTAGCAAACCTATATATACACACACCGCACTCTTAAAATGCAAGCACTCTGGGGAAAAGGGTGACAGAAAACAATACACTGCACAACCATTTGCATGTGGGCAGAAATATTGGACAAAATCACCCGTGTGAATACTGTAGGATTTTTAGTGATTTTGCTGAACATTTAGAACCTCAGAATTTAAGGCCTTGCAGTTGTTTCTTTGTTCTTCTTTTGTCTGAGTGTATACTGATCTGAAGGCCTAGTTCACAGCAATTAGTCTGGTGTTGCTTTAAATCACTGTTAAGTAGGGATGGATGAAATGGTCTGATTACTAAGAACTGGACAACTTTTCAATCATTCCTTGAAAAGAACTTGAACAAAGGATTTGCAGAAGTTTTTGTGCTTCATTCAAACTACAATGATGTGCATTTGTGAAGGAGCCCAGAATAACTCATTCTACGAATGCCATAGTGTGCCTGTTGTTTTACAAGCAGACAGAAAGATAGGCTTCCTCCCTTTGGAGCTCGTAATTCCTAAAAGGAAATACAAAAGTAAAAATGACCCACAAAGGAAGTCATCAGTAAACAAAAGGAGAAGATAAGGGTGGAAGCAGTTTATCTCATGAAAAATTAGTCACTTGTAAGTCATTGTGTTGATCAATTTCAAATGTTTCTTCATTAGTTAGAACTTAATGCAAAATGGTTTAATATCCATGTTCAGGGTCAACAATATCAGAATCAGAAGACAGAGATCCAAAATTTTACAGCCAAATTTGAATATATAGAACAGATAGGTCTCATCTGACTGCGAATCAACACTGCATGTGGCTGCAAGCAGATTTTAACCTGTGAAGTATTTGGACTTTTTAACAAGTCTCATTTCAAGCTTTCAGTGTTTAAGCAGGACTTCTCGGTGTCTTCCACAGGAAGTTTTGCTTAAAACCTGATGACACATTATGACTTTATATTTGAATTATTGTTGGAGACACTCAGTGGAAGTAAATAATTTTAAGGAGGGATTTGCCCCATGAGAAACACACATTACAGCTTACTCTGTGCCTTGACAATAAATTTACCGATGTTTTATGAAGAGTTTTGAGCACGAGAATGGTCCTGTGAATTGACACATCATATAAATAGTAGCCCAGTGTCTGAGAGTCTGTAATGCCGAAATGCTGGCTGTTCCCTCTGGGCGGCCCGTGCTGCATGGGGAGTGCGGGGCCCAAACGGCTGCTTGTGCCGCTTGCTTCCCCGCGGCGGCCCAGATGAGTGGTGCAGAAGTCAGCTGAGCGCCACGGTGGGAGGCGAAGGGGGGCGGGGCGGTGACATGCCACATGACAGCGGCTCCAGGCTCCGCCCCCTGGCTGTGAACATCATCTCCCAGCCCCCCCGGCTGACTTCTGTGCCGCTCATCCAGGCTGCCGCGTGGGAGCAAGCGGCTCAAGTGACCGTTGGGCTCTGCACCCTCCATGCAGGACGGGGAGTGCGGAGCCCAAATGGCCATTTGGGCTTCGCGGTCCCTCGAGTGAGAGGCAGGAGGGGGAGGAGAAGTGAAAGAGAGAGACAGAGAGAGAGGCAGGAGGTGGAGGAGAGCTGAGAGAGAGAGGGGGAGGACGTAGGAGAAGGAGAGAGACAGAGAGAGAGACGGAACAAGAGACCGGAGGCTCAGGAGAGAAGACCAACGTGGAGGAGAGACCTGAAAATCCTGTTTTATGATGGGCTAATTGGCTAGTACTTATAATATTTTACATTTAATATATACTAGAAAGAACCATTTTGTATCCATGAAAATTAAACTGTCTATTAAGTATCTTCAGTTAAGATTAAAAAGCAATTTAAAATTTTTATAACCTTACTTCTTCTTTAAAAACAAACAAACAGGTGGGTGAGGTGATATCTTTTCTTGAACCAGCATCTGCTCGAGAGAGAGACAGACAAGCTTTCAGGCTTACACATCAAGCTTGTCTACACATAGGCTATGTCTACACTGCCCCCTCTCGTGCAAAAAAATATGCAAATGAGGCAAAGGTGGAATATTGCCATGACTCATTTGCATAATTAATGAGGCTCCATTTTGGCGCAACAGGCTTTTGCCTGAAAAAAAAGAGGAAGAACGTCTCTTGTACAAGAAGGGGTTTTTGCGCAAAACGGAGCCATGTAAACATCTCCTTTTTGCACAAAAGCCTCTTGCACAAAAAGGGAGACTCAATTATGCAAATGAGGCGCAGTGATATTCCACGTTTCGCCTCATTTGCATTTTTTTCCACAAGAGGGGACAGAGTAGACATAGCCATACAGTGCTGCAATGGTTGTCACCGCTGTAGCACTTAGTGAAATCACTGCGATTAGTGACAGGAGAACTTCTCCTATCGTTTCGGGCACTTCACTTCTCTGAGAGGTGTTAGCTATGGCAACAGAAGAAGTCTTTCCATAGAGACAGAGTTGTCAACATCTGGATTTCACTTGGTGTAACTGTATCACTCAGGGGTATGGATTCACAGCCATGAGGGACACAGTTATACCAAGTTAAGTCATTAGTGTAGACCAAGCCCAAGCTCTTGTTCAGGTCTGGGAAACTCTCGCAGAGCATCACATCTACATACAAGACTGAACAGATAGTTTAGCATAAGTAGTTGACATACATTTCAAGGGACCATATTTCAAGGTGAAGTGGCCTGTTAAGAGCCCTCCAGTCATAGAAAAGAGGGTGCAGGGAGAAACAGCTGGAGGAGGAGGACTTATTACATGTCATAAATTCAGTCCATGGCTTTTAGTGTTTAGCAACATTGTGGATTTAATCTCCTAGGCTCATCTTTTGAAGATGTTGTGCAGGTTTCATTTGAGGAGAAGGACTGAGAGGTCAGATATAGAGCGATCATTGTGAAAAATGTTCACTCACATGTGGTTTTGTCTCGTATTATTTTCCTATGTGAGTTCATTCAAGAGACAACACACCTTTCAAGATCCATAGATTCTATACATGCCTCTCACATGTGGTATATCTGGTACGCCAAATGCCACAGTAGCAAAGATGGGGTGAAAACTGACACACACTGTGCTCTCACATGTTATGTTCCATCTTGTATTTAGCAGTGACAATGAGTTAGTTTTTCAGATCTCAAGAGCTCTGTGTAAGCTTGAAAACTTGGAACTCTCACCAACAGAATTTGATCCAATAAAAGATATTACCTCAGTCATCTTGTGTCTCTAATATCCTGGATCTTACAGCTTACACAACAGTGTGTACTCTTAAAGCATTTTAGCACCATCTAGTGTTTAATGTGCAAAAACAAATTGCAGTCTTAGAAAACAAGCAGTTCAAAGTATTTGGCTCAGAACACTTGGATACTAACACTATTTCATGATTTGGTTTTAGACATTCTGTCAGACTAAACTGGAACTTTATGTCCTAACTTCAAGCGCAGGAATTTCAGTATTGCTGTTATGCAGGTATTTTAGATTGCAAGTCTTTGGTCCTTTGAGGAGGGCTTTTAAAGAAACAGAATAATAGTATCATAGAAGTGTAGAACTAGAAGGGACCTTGAGAGATCTTCCAGTCCAGTCCCCTGCAATTGAGACATAGCTAAGTATTATCTGACAGACTAAGCAAACCCAATCTTTTTAATCTTTAATGAAAGGTCATGTTTTTTAGACTTGATCATTTTTCTTCTTCCTTGACTTTTTCCAATTTGTCTCTTTCCTGAAATGTGGCACCCAGAACTGGGCACTTGGAGTAGAGAGATAAAAATCAGCATGGTGTAGAGAGGAAAAATACTTCTCCTGTCTTGCTTACAATACTCTTGTTAACACATCCCAGAATGATGTTTGCTTTTTTTTTTTTTAAAACAACAGTGTTACATTGCTGACTCATTTAGCTTGTAGTCCATTATGACACACACACACACACACACACCCCTGATCCCTTTCTGCAGTACACCTTTGTAGGCAGTCATTTCTCATTCTGTAAGTGTGATTGTTCCTTCCTAAGTGGAGTACTTTGCATTTGTTCTTATTGAATTTCATACTATTTACTTCAGACCATTTCTCCAGATCATTTTGAGTTATAATCCCATCCTCCAGAGTATTTGCAACCCCTCCCAGCTTGGTATCAGCCACACATTTTATAAGAGTACTCTGCATGTCATCATCTAAATCACTGATGGAGATATTCGACAGAACTGGACCCAGCACTGATTCCTGTAGGACCCCGCTCATTATGCCCTTCCAGCTCAACTGTGAACCACTGATAACTACTTTCTGGAAAGGGTTTTCCAACCAGTTATAAAGGTACCTTGCAGTAGCACCCATATAGGTTGTATTTCTCTACTATGGTCGTGCAAGACATTATCAAAAGTGGTACAAAACCCAAGATATACCACATGTACAGTTTCCCTCCGCCACACACACACACACACACACACACACACACACACACACACACACACACACACACACACACACCTTGTTACCCTGCCAAAGAAGGCTCTTGTGTTGATTTGTTCTTGTGATTTGTTCTTGACAAATTCATGCTGAGTGTTACTTATTGCCTTATTATCTTCTAGGTGTTTGCAAACTGGTTACTTATTTGTTCCATTTTCTTTCTGCGTACTGAAGTTATGAAGACTGGTTTGTAATTCCCTAAAATATCCTTATTCCCCTTTTTATAGAATGACACTATTTCTGTCCTCTTTCAGTCTTCTGGAATTGCTCCTGTATCCCATGAATTTTCAAAGATAATTGCTAATGGCTCAGCTTTCTCTTCAGTTAGCTCTTAGGATGTATTTCATCAGGCCCTGGTAACTGAAACACATCTAACTTGTCTAAAGGCTTATCTACACAGGCAAGTTACTGTGCTCTAACATTCTCACTCAGAGGTGTGAAAATACACTCCTGAGTACAGATAGTTACAGCCCAGTACATAGGCTCCCAGGAATGGGAGTCACGCTCCCAGCTATACTAGAGATGATTTACCTAGAGTGCAGGGAAAAACGTCTCTACCAGATGTTGTGATCACACTGCTGTGACAAAGGATATGAATTTGATCTTGCATTTTGTCAACCAATATCATGGCTAAAAGCTTCTGCTTAATATATTAACCATGATCCACTCTCACAGCATCCTTTGTACTTATGCTAAAAGAAACTGTATTTGCTGATGAATTGTATACAGGCAGTCCCCGGGTTATGTACAAGATAGGGACTGTAGGTTTGTTCTTAAGTTAAATCTGTATGTAAGTCGGAACTGGCGTCAGCCGCTGCTGAAACTGACCGCCAGTTCTGACTTACATACAGAATCAACTTAAGAACCCCAAGCGTCCCCAAGTCAGCTGCTGCTGGAACTGATCAA